CACCCCCACCCCCACCCCCCAACAAAAATAACCCAACAAAACAAAACAAAAACAAAAACAAAAACAAAAAAATCTTTCTCCCAAGAAAAAACGAAAAAAAAAGTACAAAATTTACTCTTGGATTGTCTCATTCTTTGTTTCGATTAGAATAATAAACATGAGTTGATGATATCAACAACACACCTTTTTTGCCCCCTTGTAAACCACAATCACACGTGGCTCCACACCAAAACTAGTGTGCATACATCATCTAAAATGGGCTCCAAGGAAAAGGGTGCGACTCTATGATATCCTCAATCTCCAAGTAATGAAAACCCTTTAAGAATATTGACCTACATCTTTGTTAGCTATCGATGATCATTGTTTGAGACTAACTAACCCACTAATTGGGGGGAAATACCTTCACTGATTTTTTTATACTAGTAGTTGGCGTACTTCTAAGTTATTTATCATTGAATCAGTGCAAAATACGAGAGTAAGCACGAATAAGATATTAATCTAACAATTCCTTTTTACCTTTATGCATCGAGTATTTAATCAACAATGAATTATTTATATCAGTGAAGAGCATTGAAAGACAAATTATTTATATATTATTGAATTGTTATCTGTTAAACGAAGATTACCACTTTGCCAAGTGGTGAGGGTAGTAAATGAGCTAGTTGGCAGTATTAAAAGGCCAAGCGTGTACATATGTCACCTGTACTAATAAGAGTCACGGATTCCAACCACAAAATCTAGAGGGCATCCCTCTTGGGGAGAGTAGTGGCCCAATCATCATCGCTGGGGCTGGGGACCCGTGAACAGTAGAAGCCAGGCCCAGCGTACAGTACACTGCTCAAGATTTTGTTGAGAAAATGTGTCCGCTGCCCTAGACCCTCTGGTCAAGAGCAACAGAAGAGGGCTCAGCCAGTATTGGGTCCACATTCTCCCTCCTACAAAAAAAAAGTCTTTGATCACATAGAAATCTTATGATAGTTTTGAGCTGAGATGAATGTCAGTTCTAGGAAGCAGAAATTTTTAAAACCGAACTTTTTTTAAAATTTAATGGGCAAGATCCACCTCCAAAAAAAAATATTAGCAAAACCGAATCTTTTCAGAGAAAAGGATCGGTTTTGCAGCCGCGGAGCATCTACGAAGTGCACGGGACTAGTAGTCTCGTGCATTTTGTGTTCAGTGAACGAAGTGCACGGGACTACTAGTCCCGTGTACTTGGTCTTCAGCGCCTCTCTGCCTTTCAGTTCGTAAGATGCAAAAGTTTTCATAATGTTAAAACCCACACTTGATTCATAACTTCGACTGCGACAAATACACATACAAATCCTTATTGTCGACGTGTGCAAAAAGCACCCCGTACTTCATGCTTATTTACTCAATTCAAATCACGCCGATGACTAAGCCTTTCACCCGCCGGTACATGTATTCCTCCTAATTGAACTGAGCCATGAGCCACGCCACCACCTTATCGTCCACCTGAAACGCCCTCTTCAACACCTCCTTCGACACCCTCGGGTTCGATCCGAACACCGCGTTCGCAATCGTAACCATCCCCGGATTCTGACTGCGCAGCGCCGACAGTGCCACTGCCGGCGTATGACCAAGATTCATCTGGAAGTGAATCATACCAAACGGGAACACGAAGACATCACCCTTCATTAGATGGTTGAAGGCGGCAGCAAAGTTCTGCAGAAGTTGAGAGATTGAAAGACGAGAGTTAAATGGTTCCTTCTGCAGAACTTTGCCGCCGCCTTCGACCATCTAATGAAGAGTGATGTCTTCGCGTTCCCGTTTGGTATGGTTCACTTCCAGATGAATCTTGGTCATACGCCGGCAGTGGCACTATCGGCGCTGAGCAGTCGGAATCTGGGGTGGTTACGATTGCGAACGCGGTGTTCGGGTCAACCCGAGGGTGTCGAAGGAGGTGCTGAAGAGGGCGTTTCAGGTGGACGATAAGGTGGTGGCGCAGCTCATGGCTCAGTTCAATTAGGAGGAATACCGGGTGAAAGGCTTAATCATCGGCGTGATTTGAATTGAGTAAATAAGTATTAAGTACCGAGGTGCTTTTTGCACACGTCAACAATAAGGATTTGTATGTGTATTTGTCGTAGTTGAAGTTACGAATCAAGTGTGGGTTTTTACATTATGAAAACTTTTACATCTTACGAAATGAAAGGCAGAGAGGCGCTGAAGACCAAGTACACGGGACTAGTAGTCCCGTGCACTTCGTTCACTAAACACAAAATGCACGAGACTACTAGTGCACTGCACTTCATAGAAGCTCCGCGGCTGCAAAACCGACCCTTTTGATCATTTTCTTCTGAAAATGGTCGGTTTTGCTAATATTTTTTCTTGGAGGTCAATTTTGCCCATTAAATTTCAAAAAATATCGGTTTTAAAAATTTCTCCTTCTAGGAAATAAGGGTTTGTTGACTTTGTAAAATAACATTAGGATTGGCTCGAACAATTTGAAAGTTTAGAGGGTTTTGCGGGACACCCCAATGTTGAGCAGGTTTTTGAAATTTACCATTTATACGATAATTTAGATTGCAAGTCATATATAGTTTTTTTTACTTTCAAAATTTTGTTCTGAATAAAAAAGAAGGATCGCTCTATATTTTCTAAATTCTCCATTAATGGATATTTCCTTTGTTTTCTCCAAATTATACTCATTCATTCATAATGTGGTTCATAGCATTCTCTAAAAAAAACAAGAGTAAATGATACTGCAAGCCATATAATCCTTGCACGTAAGTGACACGTTTGAAAGTGAAGCTATCATTGTTTTTGTGTGTATTGAGAAGAGAATACTTTTAACATGAAAAGATGGAAAATATTCATGACAAGAGAGACAATTGTTGATTTGATTCAAGGTCTCAAGGTCTCTTACGTGTAACCGCCAAAACCCCTTGTGCAGAATAAATTTTTGCGATATTACATTCCAATTTCTCTTAAAGAAAAAAAGGTAATATCCTCAATTTTTTCGAATTTCTACATGATTTTTGGAATATTTCTTTTGAGCAACTTTCATCACA